TTTCCACTTTATTATTGCTTTCTGGCCCACGTGTGATAATGTCCTAAGGCTGTAATCAATAAATAAATTTATTTTGATAAGCCCACAGAATTCATGGGATAGTTGTCTGAGTATTGGACTAGGATTCTGGAGATCTCGGATCAAATCTTTGCTTGGCCATGGGAACCCACTGGGTGACCTTAGGTAAGTCACACACTCTCAGCCTCAGAGGAAGGCAATGGTAAACCTCCTTTAAACATATCTTGCCAAGAAAACCCTGTAATAGATTCACTTGACAGTTGTCATAAGTCAGAAATGACTTGAAGGGACACAACAATCAACCAGACATCAAACATAGAATTCAGTACCACAACTTCTGAGTAAACATGCATCTCACTAAACTGATAACTTACACAGTAAGTATTATACACATTTCCCTGGTTACAGCTACTCCTAGGGAAGACAGATGCAAAGAAGACAGGGCTTTGGCATCTTATCAGTTTAGTGCAAGCAGTTGTTATGTGCCTTCTAGTCATTTCTGGCTTACAGCGACCCTTAGGCAACCCTTTCATGGGGTTTTCTTGTCAATATTTGTTCAAAGGAGGTTTGCCTTTGCATTCCTCTGAGGTTGAAAGCATGTGATCTGTACAAGGTTATTCAGTGGGTTTCCATGGCTGAGCAGGGATTTGAACCCTGTTCTTCAGAGTTGTAGTCTAATGATTGAATCACTATACCACACTCACTCCTTCATCTAAGCTATGTCTGTTGAATTCTTTTACTAGAGACCTATTAGAGGTGGATAACCCCATCCTTTTTTTTGCATCTGGTCATCATAGCTACTCCATTCTGTATGAAAAAATAAAACCTCATCAAAGATACCAAAAATAAACCCAACTGTTCCGAGCCAAGAAACCAAAAATAAACCTACATAACTATTCCAATCCAAGAACCGTTTCTTTACTTTTGACATCCTGCTGAGTCTCTATCCTGAAATTATGCCATTTGATTTACTTAGCCTTCAAAGCTAAATGGAAACTTCAAAGTTAAATGCTGTGTGTTATTGTCCAAGGGCTACTGTGCTCAAAACAGGTATTTTTTAAACAAAGTTCTTTATTTATAGATTGAACATTACTAATGGGAACCAGGCTTACTTATATTAATCCTACTGTAATCAATGAGACTTAAGTTGTTCAAGAGTAAGGTTCCATTGGTTTCAATAAGTCTTGTTTCAATAGGAATGGGAAGGGCAGCTATGAAAGAACTAGGCAAGATCCTAAAGTTCAAAGATATGACATTGAACACTAACATTAGGATAATTCAGCTCATGGTATTCCCAAGCAGCATGTATGGATGTGAGAGCTGAACAGTGAGGAAAGCCAACAGAAAAAAATCAACTTATTTCAGATATGGTGCTGGAGAAGAGAGCTGAGGATACGAAGGATAGTCAAGGGGGCAAAAAGAAAGTAATTGAATAGATCAACCCTGTACTCTTCCTGGAAGCCAATATGATTAAATTGATCAGTGATACCTTTATTGGCCAACCAAAATGCACAATATACTTGTTGCAAGCTTTCGAAGCTCCGTGGACTTCTTCATCAGGCAAGATGTTTACAAACCAAACGGGAGAAAAACAATTGGAGATGATAGTCAGATGCCTACAAGTTATTTCAGTATTTAGTTGAGATGGTATATGGTGGGGAGGATTTGCTTGGCTAATAAAGCTATCACTGATGGATTTTTGTTTGACTTTGCTAAATGGCTAACACAGCTACCCCTGAATGATTAAACTGAGGTTGTCCTACTTTGGCCACATCATAAGAAGGCAGGACTCATTAGAAAATACATTAATGCTAAGAAAGGTAAAATGCAGAAGAAAGAGAGGAAGATCAAATGCCAGGTTGTTGGACTCAGTCAAGGAGGCCATGCCTCTGAACCTGCATGAACTGATCAAAGCAGTTGAGGACAGGGAGTCTTGGATCGCCATGAGCCAAGGTCGACTCATGAGCCGAGGTCGACTCACTTTGAACAACAAACTCCAACTATGTCTAATTTTGGATCTGTGCCCACACACACTTCTGGAACTGTCAGTGTGTTCAATATCTGAAGATATACTAATATTACAGCAGTCACGATGATACATGTTTCCTGTTTTTCTGGACCATGCGTGTTGCTACACAGAAGATGCCTATAACATTGTCATGACTTTAAAAAAAAAAACCTGCCAAACGATTTTATCTTTGGGTGGAAAAGCAGCCAAGGTGACCAAGGAAAGCCTTCTGTTGCTTCTGAGGGCAGCCCCCCCCCCAACTGCTTTTTATTTAAAATTCTACACACAACTGCCCTGAGAAGGTTATAACTGTCCCTCAGCAGCTTCATTGCATAAGGGGTATGTGCAGTAGGAAGATATATATTTTTAATGGAAATATCGCATGGGGGTGATGGATAATCTTGAGAAAATCCTAAAGATAGCCATGAAGATAAGAAAGGGATTAAGAATGTAAAATATATGAGCAGCTTCTGAAAAGATGGATTTAAAAGAGAGAGAGAGAGAGAGAGAAAGTACATATGTCAAAGGATGTCACTGAGATAAAGGGTTACCGATTCCCAACCAGAACAAAAAGAAGTGTTAAGATTAGTCATTTTATTGCAAAAGGAAAGTCTAGATGAGAAGGGGATGGGAAAGTGTTGCAACTAGGCAGCCAGAGAGAAATAGGCAGAATGGACAGAAGTAAGAGGTGTTTTTCCTCATGTCTTTGTTGTATTCAAGGCTATGGAGCTTGCCTTGTTTAGTTAATTTATATTTAATTAATGCATTCAGAAACTGTCTGTCTGGGAAACCACTCAAGCACGGTTTACTTTTTACAATAGATTTAATTTGCAATAGATTCCTGCAATTTAAAACACTTGATGATACAGAAGGAAAAAGAAACAAGACAAACATAATCAGCTACTAATGCACTTTAATTTCACCTCTCCTTATTCTAATTACAAGTCTTTGCTGCTTTGCATCTCTGTGTGTGTGTGTGTTTGTGTTGTATATTTGTGTGTGTGTCAGGAAAAGGGAAGGTTAAAAAGGGAAGGTCTGGGGAGTAGGAATAAGGAGTAAAGGAGTAAGAGGTTTTTACAGGAGTAGGAGTGACATTAAGAAAAAATATCTTACTCTGGAGTAAGTCAAGGAGTAACCCCAAAATCACCATTATTCCCCAGCCCTGGAAATTATAAATATGTACATATATGTGTATACACACAGACACACGTCCTCTGGGTCAGGCTGCCATGGAACATCTAGCCTGGCCCAGCCAAAGTCTTAAAAAAAACAAGAAAGAAAGCCTATTTTAAGGTAGACTGGGAATTGTGGAGCTGTTCAGATATTCCACTGCAACTCCTATTAGTATAGTCAATGGTAAAGAATCCTGAAACTGGCAGTCCAAAATTTCCACCTTTTAGCTCTGTTGTATTTAATGTTGTATGGACAAACAAGTACTTGGGTATTATTTCATTTCAGGGTAAGCAATAGAAGCTTTAAAGAATTTTGAAAGGATGGTGGGATAGCAGGTTTTTTTGTAAGGAGAGAGAGAAAGAGTTTCCTTTTTTCCCTCAAGGCTTGCTATAAAGACAAGGTAGAAGACAAAGATGACTGCTCCCCCTCAGCTATCCTAGGGAGAGGCAACTGAGAAGACAGCGCCTCAACAGTGGCTACAGGGGGAAATGACTGAGAAGGCTGTTCCTGATCAATTACCACAGGTAAGGCACTGAGAAATTGATCTGACTGGAAGGTGGATATTTTTATTCCAAGTTGGAGGCAACAAGAGTAGGGAATACGTTATCTGTGTTGGAAGCAAAGAGGCATCAATGCTTGTGTAGAGTAATTTGTGAGACAGGCGACTCTAGAGAGCATGGCTGTCCTTTTGTTTTGCCACTGTTTATTTCTTAAGCCTTTTTGCTTCCTTCTTGCCTGCAGAGGTCATATCCCCTTCTCCCAAAAGTCAGTATCTCCTTTTTTCTGGGAATCACCCTAGTCAACTTCCACATATGAAAGCCAGCTTTAGGAGCTCTTCTACATATTGAAATTTGGATAATCTTTTGTCTATCTCAAAATAGATTTCCTGAAACAATAAATGTAAGTTTTTATTTTATTTACCTTACCTGAGTATCCTGTTTCTACCACCAGCTTATATTGCACTGGCTTCACAGCACTCTGCTTGATATAAATACCAAATATTCCTAGAGTCCACTACTGCTATTGCCTGCAGTTGTGTCCAGATTAAATTATTTGCATTTGGTTCCCACTGAAACTGATGACACTTCAGTTAAGCCGTAACTAACTTGTTCCCACTTATCAGTTTGACACTGGTTTCCCATGGACTTTCCTGGGAACTCTGCAGCAAACCCTGGCTGTTTAAATGGAGCCCTGTGCTCTTTACCTTGCCACTCCTTTGCTCCTACTGAGTAGCCATCCATCGCTGTGTCTGACATGGAAAAGGGGCCTGGCCACATGGGGCTTCTCAGCAGGCGCAATGGTGCAGCAAGAAAAGGAATCCATATTGGTAGCAGGTTCCAGGGCAGCATTTGGACAGGAATGTAAATGCCTGCCTGTCCCCACACTAACCCACTAACTCAGGTGAGCACCCAAGTCAAAATAACATGGGCTGAGCCCACGATATCCTGGCCTGTCTGCTCAGTCCCCAAGACAAGTAATCCAACACTTCCTACCTACCCCTTGCTGTGTTCCCAGCCAACTTCCCTATCCATCCAATCCTTAGGTTGTCCAAATCCAATCATTTTTGTATCCCCAAAGTTAAAGCCATCAACTGGTCCAGAATCTCATTGTCATTTCCTGGGAAGACCACCAGGTCTTTGTTACATTGCAAGATAACACCTAGCACCTCCTGAGGCAAGGATATCAGATATTAATATCTGTTCCAAACCTAGCCTCTTTGAGCACAGAGCACAGAAAGTACAGTTTGCCTAGAGAGACCCTTTGTATCTCCCTCAGACCCCAGTCTGAGCCAGATCCTGCTTTCTGTGATCACCTCTTCGGGACAGGTAAATATTGCCCCTCTATGCCCCTCATGATCACAGAATAGTCTCTGACAATATTGGCTCCTCAGCTTAGTAATGGAGATGAGCACCGCCCCTATGGTCAGACATGACTTGACAACCTTGTCAACAGTGAATACCTTTACCTATACCCCTCAAACTCTACTATCCAATTTCCATACCTCCACTTTGGTTAGCTCTGCATGGTTTGTCTGTTTGAATTACTATCATGTGTTTGACTGCATATTTCTGAATAAAAACCTTCTTAATTCACCCAAACTTGGCAATCTTCCTCAGTTAGTACTGTTATACGCAGGTGGAAATGATCCTCATGTTACCCAACCTCTCACTAACCTCCTTGAATTAAGCAAATTCCCCCAACTTTTAAGGAGCAGCTGACACAATTGGTGGGGATCCCAAGTCCCCCAACCTTTCTTTGGGTAACAGTACAGACAGAAGGAACACACAAGTGATTTTTCTAAACATTTCTATTTTCAGTTAACAAAAAATAACTAAAGTTTTGAGATTGCAAACAAGGTAACTACTGAAGAGTGGCCAAGTTCATAGTTTATTTTTACAGCAGTTTGATATCCCTTTAACTTCTATAGGTAAGGACTCTGGAGATTTCTTGTTTGAGGAGATGATTCCAATCCTCTGCTAGTAAGTTTCAGTGTATTCCCTGAGCTAAAGCACTAGAGCTCTC